ATGTATGGTTATGGCACCTAGATGGCTGGAAATGGCACTCTCAGAATTAAAATTTGAATACGGTATATTTTTATTCTCTTTCTCAGGTTTAATTTAATTTTGAAAAATTGGGGGGGGGGCAGTCTGACGAGGCCCCCTTGAATCTGCCACTGAACATAAAATAAACAATCAATACAAATTGGTGCTTACTGCTCTTTGGTTTTCCAGTGTTTGCTCCAATGTGCTTATTTCTTGCTGCTTCTTAGCCTCATGGTCTTCATTGTGTAGAAACTAGAAAAAACAAATTCTGATTATTATCAAATTCCATAGATTTCTATTCAATAATTATATAATTATTACAAGAATAGTAATTTAAATTTCTTCCAAGAACGATGATAATTGTTTCTACTCACATCTTGTATTTGGCGAGAAACTTTCAACATTTGAATGTCTTTTGCCTTGTTTAGTAGATCTTGGATTTGCATCACCATCTTTTTGTGCTCCCTGTAAAAAAAACATGGTAAGGGGTTATACAACAAAGGGAGTTACAATGGTAGCTCCTGTTACAGCATTGACTAAAAATCAGAATCGAAATCTTTAGTTCTTAATAGTAACTGAACATAAGATATTATATTAATTTAGATATTGTATTTGCATCACCATCTTTTTGTGCTCCCTGTAAAAAAACATGGCAAGGGGTTGCAATAGTGACAACACATGGCAAGGGTTACAAGTTACAAAAAAGGGAGTTACAATGGTAACTACCTTTAAAGTATTGACCAATCAAAGGTAAAAGCTTTGGTGCTTATAAAAGTAACTGAACATAAATTATTTACATTAATTTATTCAACCTTTAATTGAAGAGAAATAAAGAGTATTTAAATTTTATAGCAAGCTTGATCAAATAACAGAGATTAAAAACGTGTGTAGGATTACATAATTGTACTTTGTACTGTACAGAAGGGCCCTCTTAGATTCCTGTATGTCCATGGTTGCTGCTCACATCACCCCAGCAACAATATCCTGGGTCTGCTACTACCAAGGCTGATTATGAATGCTTACCACTCAAGAATATGGATTCCTTTTCTGAAGTCCTTACTCTCTGTCATTGCTGCAATTTTTTGCTCTCCTAATTGCTGTTAATCAAAACATTAAACAGAATGTAAAATATCTGATTTTTAAAATCTATTTTTAAGTGGCATCACCTAGTTTTTCAGCAAATAAATGTTACTAAAATTATGTTAATAAAAAAGAAATTAAATATTAACCTAATTAAAAGTTTGAACTGGCGACTTCTGATATATTGTATGTGTCGCTGACACCTAACCTATAGGGAGCCTAGTCAGTATTCTAGCCAACATACAGTGCACTCCCTATCCAACAAGTAACTCATCTTGGAGTCGCATTTAGTTTCTCTTTATTCCTAAAATCAACCTAAAATCCGAATTAAAATGGCATGTGCTATGAAACCAAAGCCAACTTCGGAAATTTGAGTAACACGTTAATTGAAAGACATACCCGAATGGTACCATTGAGATCCTCCACAACACCACGATGGATGAGGATGCTGTCACAGTAATTGGGAATGAACTTGCCGCTGTCAATTTCAACCTGTCCTTGTTTTAACAGGAACTGAACTTCAAGGTTACAGTTAAATCGCATGCTTGTCTCTCGCAACCTAAACAAATTTATCAATGCAAACAAAAAATCTTTTCATTTTGAAACAAAAAGGTAGGGTTTTTCTGCAGTAAAGATGTAATGGAAAAAAAAATTATTATGTATAATTTATTACTTACTGATTTAGCTCATCCATTGTATCATCCATCTCTCTTTTGAGCTTCTCGTCTTCATCTTGTCGTAGCTGTAGGAAAGCATTCATGTCGGCCAGCGTCAGGGCTTGAGCTTTAACCTAAAGGAAAATCCCTAACTTATAAGAATTGATAGCCCATTTGTAATTGTACAAATTTTGTCAGACAATGTGACTATAAAAATGACAGATGTAGGGTTAGCTTTATGGTGAAAATAAATAGGCTTATACCCTTGTGTCCACTGTAGAAAGCCTATGTTTTTGCCTTAATACAAATAGTCTGTACCTTTTTAGCTGTTTTTCACTAATACAGTACCAGTAAACCAATTATTTAGGAATAAGATAGGGAGATAATTACTTACCTCGTGTTCACTCTTAACCTTTAACCTCCGTGCAGCACACATACGTCTCCATACGGAAGGCTCAACTTCCTCTGGCATGTGGGATGGGTCATCGAACTCATCCAATTGCTTGAGGATGATGTCAAGGGTTCCTGGTTGACGTGCAGATAGAGGTCTCTCTCCGTATGGATTGTTATTGACGCAACTTGCTTGTGAATCTGCATGGTGAATACGTCTGTGCCCTCTGCAATAAAAATAATCTGAATAATTCTGTAGGTAATTAACAACAATATGCCTTTTGGATAAAGTTCCTTATTCCTCTGTTAATATAGTTTAAATGTTATAACACTATATTCTTAATGTTCACCCTCAAAGTGATAACAGATGAATAAATATATACCTTGGTCTTCTACGATAGAACTTGTAAAGTTGATCCACAATTAGTGCATTGACGTCATTGAATTCTCTACGGAAGTTCTTATCCATGACCTTGTCTTCGGCAACACGTATGTCATACGTATCCCGATATTCCTCCACTTTATTTTTTGCCAGGCCAACAGCTTGGACGGTGACGCTCTTCCTGGCTTTAATATCCTCAAGCTGACGGAGAAGTTCCTCCTGTCTTGTGCTCAGTTCTTCCTCGATCAAGAGCGAGAAATTCAAGCGCAAAATCTTAAGCTCTTCCTGAAAAAATAAAACATTGAAGGAATAGTTAGACATCATGTATTTATAGATACAGTGTCATCCTTGATGAGAAACAAAAGTGTAGAAATGGTATGTTACTCATTAATGGCATTTAAGTATAAAGAAACAAAAGAGACAAAAACTAATATTTCACCAACTGCTATGTGCTGAGTTCCTCTACTTATTATTTGCCATCTGTCTCATTTCACCCTCACCATCACTAATCTTCTCTCCCTCTAGGAATCATTTTCTTTTCTTCTTCCCAGCATCCATCTCCTCTTTCCCTTCTTGCACAATTTTCTCCTTCTCCCTAACACTCACTTTCTTTTACCCTTCCCACCACTATTTTTTCTCTCACTTTCATTACCCATCTCATCTTCCTTTTTTAGCACCTCTACCCATTTTTCTTTTCCTTTTCACCTCCATTTTCTTCTTCTCATCCAGCAGCACCTGTATCTTTTCCTTCTGCAGCAATATTTGTATCTTCTCCTCTTATTTACTTCTTCTTTCGCTTCTAAACACCATTTCTTTCCCCTCCCTTCCACTTCTCTTTTCTTCCTTCCCCATCACAATTTCTTTTTCACTCCAGCACCCATCTCCTCTCCACTCTCTACTCTCTTCTATCACTGGGTATGTCACCAAATTTTGCATAAATTTTGAATAACAGCTTCCTATACCTGGAAAATGACCATTTCCACCTTGATCTTCTTAAGGAAGAGATCCACCAGTTTGTCATCAAAGTTTGAAGTAGTGTCACTAATGATGGTCTGCAGCTTCTTCAACTCTGCTTCAAGGGTCTGCAGTAAGAAGTAATTGTAGGAGACTAATGAACAACATAAAATATTACAAAACCAGATTGATGGGTTAACATGACAGAGAGAGGCAAGCTTTTAATAAAAGAATCCTTAGGTCTTTTTTAAAAAATGTATTTATAGAGGGCGAACTTTCCAGCTTTGTCTAGGTCTCTGGGATAAATAGGAAGGTAAGCATCTTAACCACCAAGCTGCATCTCCACTACATTCTGAGTTTAAATCCTGAAACTTTCACAACTAAAGAGAATTCCATCCCCTAAAACCTCATTCACATCAAGACTTAGTAAGTAGTGCTATATTATCCTATAAGTATCTAGACACTCTGGATGAGAATTTTAAAAAATACTGACCTTCTTATACTTTTCTCTTTCTTCATTTAGTTCCTTCACCTTCCTCTCATACTCCTTTGCTATTTTCAGCTCATCTTCCGACCATTCCTCTTGAGGTTTGTTAACAATGAATGTTGGTTGGGGAACATCCTAAAAAATCAAAGGTAAACAAACAAAATCAGGACATAATAATGATAATAATAGTAATAATAAAGTTATTTATAGTTGCTTATTTTGTTATTTCCCTGGTAATTGGGTCCACATGCTTGAGTGTGTCATACTGGTGCAGAAGCAGGCAACCCCACTAGGTACCCATTTATACTCCTGGGTGGAGAGAAGCAATGCAGATAAAGTGCCTTGCTCAAGGACACAAGCAAAATGCACAGGGAGGGATTGAAACCCCAACCTCGAGGTTGGGAAACCAAACTATTCCTGCTGCGCCAAACCGCTTCCGATAGTTGCTGAATTTCTATATAAAGGTAAACTGTAATGCGGACTTCAAAGAGGCCTACCTTCTTTAATTCGTCCTCCTTCTTGACTTCCAATACTCCCCCCATCATCATATCACGACCCCGCTGCAGGTCATTATCTCCTTTCTCCAAGAGGCGGCGCTGTTCTTCTACCTTTGCTTCTTCATCCAACTTTGCTTGTTGTTCTGGGGTGACAAACTTCTTAACCTTGACCTGCATCAAAAATTCAATATGGAAAATATTTGTGTTTACAGTCAGTTATGATTCTAATGTTACATTTTATCTTTTTTTAAATACTTTTTTTTTTGCCATTTTTTTAATATACTGTATAAACAAATAATAAAAGGATATTTAAATCAGATATTTACCTCCTTGTCTTCTACTATCAATAACTTTTCTGGTTTTTCGTCTTCATCCATTTCTGGCTTCCACAATTCTTCAGTCGAGTTAAGATCTTTGAGGATCTTGGAAATACGGGTGTTACGTTCCTCGATGCGTGCAATTTCTTGTTCCTTTTGTCGGTAAACTTCATCAAACTCGCTGTTGAAAGCTACTTTAATCCGATAAACAGCATCCTATGAAGAACATACAGGAATATGTTATGCCAATCACAGAAGAGCTCAGGATTTTTACATTTTTAAAGGGATGGAATTATGATGTGAACATGAGAATTAACAATTTGTTTGAAAGTAGTAAGTCAACGAACCTGGAGCAATATAATCTGATTACGCTCTTGCTGTCTGGTGTGCAGTTCAAACTGACTGTAGAAGTAATCACTACCACCACCATACTCTGCCCCTAGGCTACCGGTCATAGAGGGCTGCTCCACGCCATCCCCTTCAACAGACTCATCATCCCCTTCCTCAGGTTCAGTCTAATAAAAAACAATAAAAGAACTGTTCTAAAAAGCATCTCATTGGCCATTCTATAATAATAATAATAATAATAATAATAGCAATAACAATAAGGCCAAAATATATATTGTGCAACTGTAATTTTCATATGAAATACCTATCCAATACTTAACATCAGCTGTGGTAATAATGGAATGATTATTAATGATCGCTATCATAAAAAAAATTCATTGAATAAAAATTTGTATTACTGAAAATTAAAAAGACTAAAGAAAGCTTAACATTGAAAATGTTACCTTATTAGACTGTTTAGACTGTGCCTCTGTTATCTCTTTCCTTGCCTAAAAGATTCAACAAATTAATGAATTAAATCAACACTAAAACTTTTTAAATATCAATATGAAAAGTGTTTTTTTTTTGATAAAAATATATTTTTCCAAAATGGATTTGAACTGAAGACCTTAGATTACCATTTGATTGCTCTAAAAAACTGAGCTAAGTCCTACAGTAAGTGGTATAATTTTGTGCATTTTCCCAAAGTGTTTTCTCAAGGTAATGGACTGACCGTTATCTCGGCAATCTCTATTTGCCTGAGTTTGGTAACAAATGCAAGCTCCGCTTTCTCCTCCTTTGTTCGTTGGCGCATTGGGTAATTGCTTACTTCGAGATTGGAGTGGAAGGCCTAGACAAGATTACAATTAGTTTATTTCATTTCTTTTTAACATCAAAATACATTCAAAAAAGACATAAACAATAAATAATAATAATTCTCACAAAGAGTAAGCTGTACCCTTGATACATTTCTTAATTAATCATTCACTTGTTCCTTTTTTCATTTGTTTATTTACGTAAAAGTAACTAAGCACAGGTCAATGATAAAATATATTTACCTTGGTACATCGACCTTTGACACACATGCTATCCCAGCATTCATTCTTGATCATTTCTTGGAGATAATTCTTTGCAAGGTTTCCAAAGTCAATTTCTTCACGCACCTGAAAAAAAAAAGAAAAAATATAACATTAAAAAGTATCCTAAGTCAGAGCATAAGAATGTGTAGTGCTACCCCAAAGAATTTAAAAAGCTGTTACAATAAATGGCTCAAGGTTTTGCTGGGTTTGAACCTAGCACCCTGGGACTTTAAAGCATGTGCCTTAACTGTTAATTACATGATAGTTAATATGATGTTACCTGCTGTACTTGACTATCTCCTTCAGCTTGAAGTCTGGATTGATCCTCAGTGTCGAGGTTGAACTCGTGCCTCTCCAAACGCTCAATCTCAGGTAACACATCATTCTCCTTCATCATGCTTTGAATCTGGGATTATACATTAATTATATTTTATCAGTTGATTGATTGATTGCGTTTATTTGGAACAATACAAAAACGTGATAAAGCAGAATTCCAAGGATAAAACAAACAATTTAAACTTAATTCCATTGTGGTCCTCACACATAACATTTGGCAAAAAAAATACAAATGTTTTTCAACATGATAAAATTATAATTACAGGTCTTCTATAATTTATTACTCATTAAAGACACTACTTAACAGATTACTCTTAGCAATACATTTAAATTTAATTTACTAGCAGTTTTCTCAGTAGCAACCAAAAGTTTATTGCATTCTGCAGCCCATGATTTTAAAAGTAATCTTGCTGATGAGAGTTTTATATCTTGTAATAATCATGGACACCTCACTCGCTTGTGTACTAATGCTGTGCATATTTCTGATAAGAATAAAATAATCCTCCAAATAAGCTGGACCATTGCCATTTATTACCGGTATCTGGTGTACCAGTCCAAATTTTGATAAGCAATTAATTAATAAATATATGTTTGAATAAACAGGTTGAAGGCTTAAATGATTCTCTTAAACAAAGCATAATTATCATTATTAATAATATCAATGTAATATTAATTATAATTTTTATGGAAATTAGTATCACAGTCTGAATGAATAAAAGGGTAGACATACCTTTCTTCTCAAATCCCTAATTTCTGTTCTTAAATTCTTCTTCTGTTCAGTGAATTCTTTATCTTCCTCTCGAATTGCCTGTTGAACAATTATTAGATTCTCAAAATATCTCAGACAAATAAAAATTTCATCCTTATAACCTGATACAGCAAACACAAAAAATAACTAAGGCAAATAATGTTGAAGAGTTACTTAAACAATATAAGTACTGTACCTCCAATATTTTTAATTCCATCCATGTTGGATCTCCCTTGGGTGTTGGTGTGGGTGTGACATAGATTTGGTCTGCCTCCATCGCTAGGGTCCTTGGTGATTTTGGCTGCGAATTACAACATACACATATTATCATAGGGCTATAAGAAAAGCGCAGTGGCATTTAGATATCAGGGTCAGTTGATCAGCATTCATATTGGTTTAGCTACTTGCTAGAATTTTGGTTGGTAAAATGGTAAACACAGCACTAAAATTACGGTATCACATTTATTATTTAAAGATTGAAAAATGGCCATACAAGTATCTTGGGCTCCTGTAGTGAAAAAATATTATTTGGAAAAAAGTCAACCCTAAATTTATGATATTTTGGATTGGTCAACCATTTTGGATTTGCAACACAAAGCTATTTTTTGGCATAATGACCCCAAAAAGTGCATGATAGGTGCATTTGAAAGCATAAATAAACACGATTACATTGGATATTCAAACATCCTTGTTTTGCAGTGGCATGTTAAATTTTTGAAGAATTTTATTACCTGATGGCCAATTGTATCACTTGTAGCCTCCCTAGATACAGCATCAAGAGGTGACCAATCAGGTATCGCAAACATTATGTCATCTTCTCTCTTGCAGATAGCATGCAGGGCGGTTTTATGTGAGCGTGCTGACTCAATAGCTGAAGTTACCTTACCTTTACCTGTAGCACTGAAGCTGGACAATTTTTTAAAAAGAAAAATAGACAAGATTAATAAAATCATTGTCATTATATACATTTTAAACCAGACTACAAAATGACAAAACTTAATGTTTCCACCACACATGTATATGGGATAGTGAGCCACAGTGTTCTTTATATGTTGCAAGTAAACATAATCAGTATATTGAACATTTTCCAATGTCTACAGTGAAGTGAGGGTGCAAATATTAAAATTCCAGCCTTACATGCATATCTCTCCAATCCTGTTATTGGCTTATTATATCAAAGCACAACTGATGGCATGCAGTGCATGTGTGGCTTTTAAGGTCAATGTAGGTCAATTCGCGGGTATCTGTCTTTTCGGATTATAATTTATATAGATCCAGAAATGCTTTTTAAAAGTAATTCTGAGATAACAATACGCTGAACAGGTGTTTACCTACTTCTAGGTACAACAGGTGTTAACTTACTTCCAGGAGTAACAGGTCAGAACACCATCACCAACCCCACATGTAAGCAGGTACATGCCATCTCTTGAGAAACACATGCGGCTAACACCTCCGCTATGGAAGCTGTGTGCATGCACTGAGACTCTGCGGTCCAGTTGGCTCAACTCTCTCACATGCACTTGACCATCACTGCCTCCACTTGCAACCCATTGATGGTGAGGGGACATGGTGACCACCCCTCCAGCAAGTTCATGGTTCGGACACATTTTCTGTGGTTGCAAGTAAGATGCTTTGTTGTTGGCCTGAAAAGAATCAGAGACAAATTTAATGACATATACATTTCTGGGGTTTCAGATATAAGTCGGGGCACACTTTTGCAGATGAGACGTGTATACATACCTTTTTAGGCGCTTCCTCAGGGATGCGGATTTCATGAAGCTGTTTAGAATAATGTGGAAGCGTAAAGAATTTCCTATCAGCTGTAACAGCGCCCCCATGGCTGGATTCATTCAGGTTAAAGTTGAGCTTATTTATGCTGTCTTCAACAAGATCCATCTTCAGACTTGTACAATATTTACTGACATCTGAAATAAAGCATATGTACAATTTATACAGGTATGCATAAAATATTATTAGATAAACTTAAAATATCTCATGCACTTTTGACGAGTTGCCAAACAAAATAAATAAATGAGCAGATGTACAAAAAGAAAGTTTAAATTTGAAAAATTTCTTAAATTAGAATCATAAAAATAATTTTGCTTACAAAAAAGCAATGTTTTAGGTAAGTGACTTACTATCATTCAGGTCAGAGGGCACGTCAAACTGTGTGATCTTGGTTGCTCCGATGTTGATATCAGCATCTAGGGCAGTATAAGTCACTACTACTCTAACACTGCCGTGCTTCTCGGCCGTGTGTGTTGAAACACTCTCAATGTGGCCGTCAATTGCTATAGAAAAGCAGAAATTTATGTGATGAAGTCAAAACTTATGTATTAGCAAGAAAATAAAATATTAGAAAAAGAAAAGATAGCAACAAAAATTATAATCCACAGACACACAGTACCTGTTTGTGCTAGCACTTGGAATTTATTTGATGGTCTAGCATCAATAACATAGACATGGCCGTCATCGGAGCCACTGAATAGATATCGACCCTCTGTATCGTACGTAATATGCATGACAGCATGCTGGTGGACTCGAAGGCGCTGGACAATGCGTGGATTATCCATATTTGTCACTTCAATCACGTAGATATGGCCAGAGAGTGTGCCAACAGCTACAGAATGAGACGAGGGACTACTAGCCAAACTGCAGCACTACAAACAGGAGATAAATGCAGAAAAATTAGTGTGTAAAAATTTAGATAGGAAAACACAACCTTATGAAAATTATAAATTTACTCCTTCTAAAACTTTCATAGTTAAGAATAGTGTAAACAATGGACATCTCTGCTAAGCTCCGCCCTTGGATATTGTTGCTAAAGTCCCAGAAAATGACAGTGTAAAAATATTCGCAAACATGTGCTTTTTGGGACAACACATGTGTTTGTATGGCACACACAAATTCCTGGTCGTATTATGATTGGTCAGTTGTTAAGTTTGATTGACACTCCAGAAAGTTCTATTAGTTGACTGGCACCTGGCTTTGGATAACATCTTACCTGGACAGCCAATGGGAGACTGCCTACCAGTTGATGGTCTTCAACACTCCAGATTTGTAATTCACCATCTTCACGTACAGTCTGAAAAAAAAAAAACCACCAAGATATTCAATACATTATATATAATGAATATCATCTACATTAAAACAACAACAAATGACATTTACAGTATTATCTAATTCTTAATGAAAAATACATTATATATAATAAAGATTATCTACATTAAAACAACAACAAATGACATTTACTGTATTATCTAATTCTTAATGGCACATTGAAATCGGTGAGACAATATTAAGAGGTTTTTAAAAATTCAAAAATAAAACTACTACTAACCACACAATGCTGCACTCCTGGATTTAACATGTCTAGGCCAACAAAGTTTCCAAAGTGTGTGTCCAGTACAAGGTCTGTTGTACCAGAATTACTAGAGTCATACAAGTTGAGGGAGCCCTGTATTAAAGAAAAATGTATTTCCAGCACATTTCGGTTTATTAAGGTATTATAAAATTACTATGTAGCAATAAATGAACTGTTATGTAACCTTTGAACTTCCAATTGCCAACTTTGCATAATTAGGAGACCAGTTGAGGGAGGTGATTGGACTGTCAATAGGGCAGCTGTCCGATACTTGCACAACATTTCCAGTAACATCTAGGCAGCGTAGAATACCATCCTTTAGAAACAAAAAATAATTTTAGTTACCACCTTATTGTAATGTTCTATTAACTAAGTCTTGTAATAAGGCTTAATGAGTGGAGTTGTATTTAGACATCAGCTTAGCATTTGCAGGATTTGAACCCAGGACCCTGAGATCTGAAGGTGAGTACTTTACCCACTATACCCCAGTTTCACTTTCTTAACTACTAAAGTATAAGTCCACTTATATTATATATTATTATTACTCAAAGAAATTGACTAATATAATTACCTCCCCTCCAATGTACAGACCATCTCTGTGTAGGGCCATACAGCTAAATACACCATCTCCAAGACGCTGTCTACCATCATCCGATGCTGACTCTGTAGAAGACGAAAATTTTAATAAAATTTATAATTTTAAAAATGATTCAATAACATAGTGAATTGAGACATGTAGAATGTTTATTATATCAATTTCATCTTACAATAACAAAGTTGGATATTACTAGATGGAGCATGTCATTATTTATAAACAATGGCTTAGGGATGTGAATAATCTTGAGTTTTGAGAATCATCTGGGAATAAAACAGGTTGAACCTGTCATCTTAAGGTTAAACGTACCTGTACCACAGAGCTATTCCTCTGCTCCAATAATAACAAAATATGAAATAAATTGTCAAAAGGAGAAATATTTGTAAATATTTAAAGTTATGATTTTAGATTATTTTTTCTTCGGGGCGTACTTTGGCTTCTTAAGAGACCTTCCCTTCTGACTTTTCAAAAAATTCTGTCCATCTAGCTTTTCAGTGGATCCCATTGGCTATTCATAAAATCCCTCTGTCCTTAGAGACATCCCTCTACTCTCTCTACTTAAGGAACCCCCTGTTCTGTAATTTTCAAAAGACCTCTCCCGTCTTTTCACTTTAATAACTGAAATATTTATCACTCACCATCTATGACAGGAGGCATTTTAAGAATGGATGATTCTGTTCGCTTGTTAGTGAATGCAGTCTGCCTCTTCCCTATGTCATTGTTTAACATCTTCACATCAAACGTCTCTGTGTTGATCAATAACAGTTGGCCACCTCCACAGCCAAGATACAAGTCACCACTTGGAGTCCAGCAGTGGGAGCTAGGCTGCACTTGACGCTTGTTCTCATTAAAGTTACCATCAAACGTATCAGCTATGTCACCAATGAGACCAGCAATGGCAGCAGGTGGTAAGATAATGTCATGGTTACCTATTTTGCTACCTGGTCTGTTAATCAAATCATCTCCAGGTGAAAGAGAATTACCATCTTCAAATGGTAAGTTGATTTTACTGATGAAAGAATAGACCTCAATAATTAAAAAGTTTTACAGCCAAGAATTTATTTATTTATTTACTATTTATTCTTTCTTTATACTGTAGGCACTTTCAGTAATATAGTCAAATTGGTACAGTGACAAGAAACATACAGTGTAATAAACAATGAATCAATAATAAAAGTTAAAGAGAAGAGTCATTGATGTAAAACAATATTTTAAACGATTTTGGAATGAAAAAGTTTACATTTCTTGAAAATTAATTTTTAATTTGTGTGATAGTTCATTCTAACTTTTGGATGATCGACATCAAAATGTTCTTATTCCCAGCCCAATATTATACATTGCAAGAACCAGGATGCTGCTATGCATGCATTGACATTAATTAGGAAAATGCAAATCTGTTTCTATTTCAAAATCACTTTAGACAAGAAAGACACACTGTTTTTATATAATTTTACAAACCTAGGTACCAAGAGGTATTTTGTATCGGCCTGTTGAATGGTCCATACAGTCAGTTGTTCGTCCGTCAAGCAACACACCTTATGCCAATCAGTAGGATTGAATGACAGACCGGTGCAACTCAAAAGATCCATAGCTGCCTTACACAGGAGTTCTCCACTGTTCATATTCCTATATCCCAATACAAAAATAATAAATGACATTAATTTAATAATTTAATTCATTACAATCCTTTAATGTTAAGTGACATTTAATGGTTAAAAGGCAACACTCTGATATGTTATAGTCATATGAACCAGTACACATAATATTCAGTGAGCATGTCTATCAAAAATAGGCTACGTACTGTTAGCCAATCACAAGGAAGGAGAGCTCAGGATTATTCAATTTTGAAATGATGTCAGAATGAAATTTATTGTATTTCATATTTCATTCTAGAAGAGCTTGCTAGTACTTACAGAAAGGAGACAAAATATTAAGATTAACCTATGCAATTAATAGGAAGATGACATCAACAATTTGAAAAAATACTATAAATGTTCTAAATTATAACATAAATATAAAATATATAATGTGACTTTATTGTATCTACAGTACAGTATATTAATGGGGTGTTTTTCATTTTGCTGTTACATATTTTCCTATCACATTTTATGATATAACATACAAGACTTTATAGATCTTCTAGACTTACCATAGCATTATGGAAAAGTCGGGAACTCCTGAACAACTGATGAGATAAGGGTGTGAATTGGAGATTGATAGTGCACAATATTCCAGCTGTGCTCCATCTTAAGAACAAAAAAAAATGCAAAAGTATAAAATACTGTACTATAGTATATTCATTCTGTTCATTAAATACTTTATTAATTACAAATCAGAATAATTGTAAAAAGACTTGTGTTATAACTTTTTTTTCTTTTGCCAAGCCTTTTATTTCCACAATCACATAATTTATAAATGAAACATAATCACATTGTTATGTATACATAAAACACTAGTAACATACTGTATAGAGAAAACATCATTGCATAACAAAATTTTACTTGTACTTGTAATTTTACTTTTTTAATTTGTAATTTTCTGGTTTTTTTTTGTGGACATATATATTGACAAAAATAAAAAAGGTTATGGGAAAAAAATTAAAAGGCCTCTTTTATATAGAATCATAATTGAAAAAGAAAATGAATAAATAACTAAAAACAGAGAGAAAAAAAACTTGAATAAAACATTAGTGTATATAAGGACTTGTCATGCAAAACATACCTTTACAAACTACTTTTTCAGTAAGAGAAGGATAAGTGTAAATAAATATTCTTGGGCTAAGGCAGTTTTCTGAAAAGGCTAAAACATGCTGAGTTCCGCATACAGTAAATGCACCAATACCCTCACCGGGAGATGAATGGATAGCTTCATCGTTGGAGCTGATGTCAAGGAACTTAATGAAGTTACCACATGGGTAGCAAATTGTGGTTTGGTTGATGAATGTGGCATTTGAACCGTTGTAACCTTGCACCCAGCTAAAAAATATAAGTAAGAAAAAACATTAGTTAGGTCTAGGCTACGCCTACTTACTTGGCCTTGTTAATGTTACATTATTAACAACATTGAATAAATTATTTTTATATTTTCGGTATCCTCCGTGCAATTAAAAAAATAGAGGGCCAAGGCCTCTAGCTTCTCCATCTAGGCCTAGGCCCCAACTGTGCTATTATATAGCCCTAGTTTAAGTTAGTATAGGCCTATATCTAGCCTACCTGTACCTATCCTAGACCTAGCCTAGGCCGTATAAAGAGGGCCGGGCAGGGCAGGCCTCGACAGCACAGAGCAGAGAGAAAGAGAGTGGGCGACGAGGCCTAACTTTTTCTCTAGCCTCTTCAGATAGGCCTAGGAGGGCCTAGGAGGTTATTGAATTCATGCAAGTACACTTACGATATATCTAAAGACCCAATTTCGTCCATAGTTTTACAAAAAAGTTAAATTAATGTCCACATTAATCAATACACAAACTCAAAACATTATTCTCATATTTATCGGCGTTTTTGTGTCAATGTTGCTAAGGTACAAGATCACGCATGCGCTAGTCCAGGGTTGTGGTGGGTTGAAAATAATTGTTTTGTTTTCTGCAAATAACATTTAAAAAAGACTCGATAATCAAATTAAACAAACTTAGTTGCAATCTGCTTATTTTGGTTTATAAATTGTTTATATTCTGATATATTATATTTTCTTTTTAGGTTTTTAAGAGATAGGCCTGTAATCACAATTTTGAAAGGTCAAAAGTTGATTAAAGCACGGTCGTCTATTCTCTTCTTCCATCGAGCATGTTTGAATGAAGTTATCGGAAAGTAGAATGGTTTTAAAACCTGTATATGTGAATTGAAATGCCTAGTTTTGTCATGTTTAGCATTTTTATAGCTTGATTGTTAAACAATGATAAAAAGAAACTTGAATTTTGTACTGACCTTCAAGTATACATCAAATTGTTTTTGTGGACAGTAGCCATGTTTCGGCAAGTAATCACTCCTCGACGATGTAGGCCTAGTGCAGCAGTGACCTTGCAGTGGAGGGCGGCGAGCAGCCAATCCAGGCCTAGGCCTAGCCTGAATTTCCTAACCTGGACAAATTTAGTGAAATTATTGACAAAGCCATGTGCCGTTGCATTGCCTCGTCTTGTGGCTCGACAAATCAATGTTTATGCAATGAAAAAATTTCGACGTATTGAACAAATACTAATAAGACATTACAACAATTTTTATTCAGAAAGGGCAATTCAAAATTTAGCATCAAGTTTCCAACGTAGCAATTGGTGTAGAGATAGACGAAGGCCGTTTTATATTTTATTTGGAGGTGCTTGTTTTGCTTGGCATGATGACCGATTATCAGAAAATGATTTTAAACAGTGAGTTTTAAGAATTCTTGCATTTAATTTTTATTTTATCATAACCAGTTAGGGCCTAGCCTCCCCTAGGGGCACAGGCCTACAGTTTTTTAATTGTTTATTGCATGTCTTTGTTACAAAACCCCCTTTAAAACATTCAGTATTTGAATTCCATACATTGTATATATAAATAAGAGATTATAGCTTCATATAAAATATGATGCATATTCATTGTTCCTGTATTTTTATTGAATTTTTTAAAGTTTTTATCGTAATTTTCTATATAGTATAGGCCTAGGCTTACAGTATATATCTACCAATTTTTGGGTCTGTGGAAGGCACTAACCCCAGAGCCTCACTGCCGTTCTAGTAGTTGTTATTGTTACCAAAATTTTAAAAGAGTACAGCGTCGCCAGTTTTGAACGGACGTGCAGGAAATTTTGTGCATATAAACTAGAGGTGATTTCTAACAAATGTTTTTTTTTAAGTTAGACCCCAGGGTTCCCCCCTACACCTACAAAACAAAAACAAGGAATGTACATTACTGCCATTACCACTAGTAGGGCACGTAACATGGATGGCGTGAGTTCGAATCCGGTCTTGGTATTCATTTTTTTCTTTCAATTGTAAGATATTTTTTTTTTTTTTTTTTTTTTAATTTTTAAGATTTAAATGAACATTCTAAATAATAATTTTTTGGTTGTACAAATTAACATTCTAATTTTTTTAACATTTCTATCTTATTAGCTCTTCCAAAAAACCAATATAATAACTTGCTCCTGTAACTGTATTTAATTGTTAAAAGTACTCTTATTTCATTTAAATTTTTATACAGATGCCAAGATGACCTGGAAGGTATAGATTTCTTTGCCAATACTATTGACACTGTGCCAGATGTGTTCAACACTTGGGAAACTGTTATCAATAGAGATCACCTAAAAGCCTGGCGCAAACAACTTGGAAACACTCATTTATATGAATACAAATGTAAGATAGCTAATTGCCACAAAAAGAAACTATTGCTGCAAATGTGGGAGGAATATTGGTACATCTTTAAGATGACTATTGTTAAAAAAATTACCATTAATATTGCTTAAAAAATTTAGATTGAAGACGTTGACTCAATGAGTGCTGTACTATAATCCCAAACAACATAGAATGAACATTCTGAATAATGAGAGGGAGCCCATTTCAACGTTTCAACCTTTATTTTGTCATATTCAGGAATAAGAAAACATTTGACTGTGATTACAAAAATGCTATAGTATTCAAGAGAGGAAATAACTATTTCTTGAAACATCCAATTTCAATGAAGGACAACTCATTTTGAAGAATACATACCGGTACCTAAGTACCTGTGTGGATTGGATTGATTCGGTGTAAACACCAAGGATAGCCCACGAAAGTCTAGAAGAAGACTTATTTCCAGTGGGGTCCTTCTGGCGGTGATTGGGCAGTACACCGGGAGACAATCCCCTACTCTTTTCCGAAGAGTGTACTGCGTTCTTTAACATGCACATTGGCCATAATGCACACAGGACCAACAGCTTAAACGTCTCTTTCGAAAGACGGTGCGCTATTGTAACTTGTATTTCAGCCCCCTAGCTGAAACACAAGGAGTGGCAGCGATGGGAATTGAACCAGGGACCTAGAGATCTCCACGGTTCAGCGCACACACAGCGGCTACCACCAGATTAGCCAACTGAGCTAAGCTGCTCCTGAGAATACCAATAACTTTAATTTTTCCTACAACTTGGCCACAACATGTCTCATGGAGTATTTTTATTCACACCTTTTCTTCATTTTTTCGTCTTCATAAATAGTAATACTATGATCAGTGTTTGTAGCAACTTATTTATCCAATTCAATTTTTTTTTCTTGCAGTATTTTGTCGTTTTTTCGACATATCAGCTAAAGACTTCTTCCAGGTGCAGTGGGATCTTGACTACCGTCGAAAGTGGGACAAGTTGGCTGTGAAACTTAATCTCGTCTGCAGAGAATCTCCAAACTCAGACATCATTCACTGGGTGCTAAGATATCCAGTAAGCTCATTAATCTTTCATCTGTAATAATACATATTTAGTAATACATTTGCTTAATATAGTGCGTTGAAAATTGTTCCCCAGTGTATTTACAAAGGTAATAGTAAAACCATAACACACAACCACATTATTTGCATATTTCAATACATTGATGGCTAATGGGCACTATTCACCAATGTCAACGTAGCACAATTAGGCTTATAAAAATTAATAGTTTGCTCTTTAATGCTGAAAATTGTATGGAGGGCGGACGCAAACAAGTTTAGTTTTTTTTTCCCTATCACCAAAATTAACATATTAAATCGCAATGCTTGCAATTAGGCCTGTCTCATTATTTGTTTTTCAAGGGGTATTCATCAGACTGAATAAAAATAACTCATAATCAATATGTTACAATGAATTTAGGCTTAGAATGGCGATACCTTACATCAGACACCAAATTTAGACAACTTTTATGTGCAAAATGGAGAAAGAGAAAGATCATTTTTAAAAATTTGTGAACAAAAAAATACACCCCCCCCCTATTTTTCCGTGAGCCAGGGGCAGTGTGGGAGAGGCTTATCGTACACACTGGGGGATGACAACTAGCTTCCATGTCCAAATTATAATGGTACCTGACACTTCTACAGTACATACAGTTTGTGGCAAAAACAAGCCAAACCAGTCACTAGTCGCAAATTGTGCTTCAGAGAAAATGGCCAAAACATGCTGGAATGTCAAATTTTTAAAAATCTATTTTATTGCACTAAACTAACCTTTATATATTTACACACCATTCTATGCTGTTATTTCCCCCATTTTCAATGTTAAAACAACACTTTTTAAGGCTTTAAAGATAATTTCTGCATGAGAATTGCCTGAAATCATAAACTTTGAAGGCTGATTTCTCATGTATTATTCTTCAAACAGCTGTTTGGTTAAACGCTTGTAACTTCATAAGGAAATCCGATTTGAATGATTTTTTTACCATTTTATAGCCATTATTTTACTCTCTAACACTGTATTAATAACTCAAAATGGATTTTTGCGACGAGTGACTGGTTTGGCTTGTCTTTGCCACATATACTTCCTGACTATATTCATTGTGAACCCATTCTACAGTCATTAAAGTCCCGTTTGAGAATCTTGATATCAACAGTCTAAATACCTGCGCCCATCTTACAATGTAATCAATTAAATAAAATGATGACCGTATGCTAGCACACTGCACGGTTTAGCCACACCAAGCATTTGTGTGGAACGAAACAGATACAGCAGAACCCCTCCTTTGGGACACCCCAATTTAGGGGACACCTTTTTTTGGCACAAAACGAGGGAAAGTATATCATTTAACATTATGGCCAACTCCTATTCAGGAGACAGCCCTATTAAGGGGACACTTTTTGGTCCTGAAGGTGTTCCCTAATAGGGGTTTTACTGTATATAATTTTATTTTCTTTTTTATGTTTACTGTTTATGTATAAGTGCATAAAACCTCTGGCATTATGCAGCATTATTATTTTTATTACATTTACATTATTACTATTAATATTTTCTGGGTTTTTTCTTGAAATTTTCTTTACAGTATCCAATGTACAATAGAGACTATGTGTACCACAGACGTTACTTTATTGATAAAGACAAGAATTTAATCATCATTTTCAATAAGAGTACCGAGCATGCAAACGTACCTGAAAACACAAATATTGTCAGGGTGTCAAACTACTATTCTCATATGATCATCAGGCCGCATTTTAGTATGGAAGAGGTATGTATAAATTTTTTATGAATGCTTACCCAGATAAACGTACTTGCCATCATCATGATGATCATTATAAAGTGAAAAGGTAGGACAATAACCAATAACTCGCAGCATCATTGTGCTGAATTACGTATGGGTGTGGTCTGTGACTACTTAGGGGCCGTCAAAGATACTAGAAATACAAGATAGAGTTCTCGCATTGTAAAAATGAGGCGGAAGTCGTGCCCAACGTAGGCGGCGCCCTTCTTTTTAACCATGCAAGTTTCCTATACTTCGTGCCCAACGTACAGGGCGCCCTTCTGTTGCTAAGTATATCCAGACGCAAAAGGCGCCCTTCCTTTTCCACTAATGGAGGAATTGTTTTGTGTATTATTTGGATAATAGCAACGATTTCTACCGCCACCAAGGAGGTTATGTATTCATGCTGTCTCTTATACACATCTAGATGTGTCCGATGTCACTGTCTGGGTGTCTATTCCAGTTTGTTTTTATATCTAGTATCTTTGTTGAGAATTGATAATAAAATACGCGACGACTTGGTAACGAAAGTTTGGCACACGTTTTTTTGGTCCAGCTGTAGGGGGCGTCCCATTTTTCGTATTCCCACCATGCATTTCGGTGGAACACGGTGTAGAACACTTTTTTTGTGTGGAGAACTCTATCTTGTATTTCTAGTATCTTTGGCGGCCGTAAAAAGAGGAGATTTCAGTACCTACATGTACACATCATGTCACAACGATGGGCTAAACTGAACCATATTATCAGGGTTACCTCCTACTCATCCCGAAAGATGCAATGGGTTCTTTAAAAAGTGCACACGAGTCAGATGTGTACACTGGACCTCCATTAATTCCTAATCTGAGATTACCGAACCCTGGGCGAGGAGTGTCTAGGCCCGCTTGAACCAGCGCCGATGTTAAGGCTGTAGTTAGTGGTGCCCCTGAATAAGGAAAATCTAGGTATTTAAGAAGGTAAAAACGTCCGATTAAAAACAAATTTGTGTGTGGGGCCTAGAGTGGGATCGGAATGCTTAGAAACTGCCTACTGTAGCCTAGGCCTCCTCAGACTTAGCTGCATAGGCTTGTGGGCATAGCCTAGGCCTAGTTTATGCCAGTGTAAGTAGTACCAGTGTAAATATATAGGAATTTGGGTCAACCCCGATTTTACTAATAAGAACGGCTCTGGGCCAGTGCCGTACGTAATTGAGGGGTTCTACTGTAGTTGGTTTATCCAGGTGTCTCACTTATTGACTACCAACATCACTGCTGATTTTTTAATATATATTTTGAGACAAATTTGTTATAAATAATATGTTCTTGCATAAATTTTTCAGCCATATATCTGGTTTTCAGATGATGATTTGAAAATAATCATTTATACTGTATATGTTAATATTAGTCAGTATAATTTTTGTATGTCTGTATTTCATTATTATCAAGAGTATTTTAGCTTTATATATTCTGTTTATTGTGTACAGCTTTCATTATGTCATTCTGCCAACAGAACCAACCATATTTGTATACTCCATTATGCGAATCAATAATTAAAAAGTTATATTTGTTTTCCATTTTTTTCATAGAATGGATTTGACTTCATAATGACCTATCATGACGACCCAAGGACGAACTTCCCTCCAAGCTGCATCAATTGGATGTCAACCACAGGTCAGTAATATCACATAATTCCTTTCTTATTACATGAACAATTTATCTAATAATCCATGCTGAACTGTACCAGAGAAAAAAATCAAAATCATAAAAGAGAGGCAACATTGCATTCATGGAAATATTCAATGCTGCCCTCTAGAGTTTAAATTGCAAACATGACAATAGTTGAGAATTCAAAATGATTGTTGTAAAAAATTTGAGAGGTGCTTTTTCTTTTGTACACTTTACATGATTACTAAGCAAGCACTTTTTATTCAACATCTGTAGCACTCAAGGGAAATTAAATTAAAATTACAAGAAGAAAATATATAAATAAATCTGTTTTAATTTGTTATAAACCATAATTCAGACAAGGATTTTTGTGTTTTTAATTTTCTTCTACAAATTAACATTGCCTCATACTTTCAATTTTTTGCAATCTCATGAATTGCAACTGTTTAGTGTCATCGATCATGTTGTAGACCTTAAGAAAAACTTGTTTTTTAGGTGTGCCGGACTATGTAGAAAAGCTCCATCAGGCCACACTTCAACTGTCTAACACATCAAACATAGTGCATTTAAGCAGCTCTGATAACCAGCAGCAGAATCATAACCCTGGACAGTACTCTACTTAAATTGTAAGTTAATATGATGTCTTCAGTTTGACTGGTGGACTTGTGAAACACTGTGCAGTTAAGTCACAGTGTGTCATCCAGCGAATACAAATACTGCCCAGTACTAAAGATGAATTGAAAGTCTGGTAATTAATTAAGCAGAGTTCTGCCAAGATTAAAATCTTACACTCTTGTAATCCTGTTGCAATCCTCTTTTGAAACCCCCTTTTAACTTTCTCTTGTAACATACTTTCTCTTGTAACGTTGTTGCAATTTTCACATATTTTTAACATTAAGATACATTTACTGTTCCGGTTTGTACAATTGAAGCTAGATTAAACCTAAAACTCAGTTGCAGTTTCATATCTAGTTGGAAATTTCACCTTGCAGTATTTGCAGATATTTATAGCTCCAGCTTGCAACACTCTTGCAGCTTTTTAATGTTATGAATATGGCTTTTTATATAAGTGATTAAACATAATATTACAATTCTGTTGGCTTGCAAATGCTAAATTAGTTACAGATATGACTTTCAATTTAATTAACTGCAGCTCATCTTGAAAATTTTGCAATACATTTTGCCCCAAAACGCAGTTGCAACTTAATTACAGCTTTCTTGCGACTTAATGAAGCTCAATTTTGTATGTGCCAACTGAACATACCTGTAAAAACAGTTAGGTAATCATAACATAATTGTACTTGCGTGTTTTTCTATTAAGTTTTTCAATGTACAGTACTGTTCTGTTGAGTAAAATGAAAATTAAATACATTTATTTAGCACCTAATATAAGAACGCATTAAATCACTGACAATTCATAACATTGATTTTTTGATTTTTGATAACATGACTCTCAACTCTGAATATCAGTGTTTGTTTGTTTCTACATCTTATGTGTAAAGATGGGATTTTTTTTAATGGACAAACAGACAGTATACCTTATATGTGACTGGCTCTGGCAATACCCAAGTGCCAATGAGAGGGGGCAGGGGGAAAGATCCCCAGGGCCCAAGCTTACCAGGGGGCCCATAGAAATTGCAGGTAGCATTTTTTTTCAATATTTTTTTTCAAAAATAATAACTACTACAATGGGCCCTCAGTAATGGCATGGGTCCCCTAATAATGGGCCCTCCAGATTGACAGGGCCCTCACAAAAAAAGTTTTGTGCCTTCGGCGCAGTCTTTGTCATGCTTTGCGATCATAATTAGGGGCCCACACCAACCCTTGCCCCTGTTACAGTTTCTTCTCTTGGAAGCCCTGGCAATACCAGCCATTTGTTGAAGTTTTAGATTCTGCATGAGTTCATCTTTAAGACAGTGTTTATTTGATTGAAATTGGTTGATTATTAGCAAAGTTATGAATGATTATTTAATTAATTGGATATCAGCCATGTAAGTTTTGAGAAAAAAGATTCCAAAGTCATTAGTTTATTAAGATTTTTATTTTAAAAATAATTTTAATATACTTTTCAGTTAGATTTAGTGATTGATATTTTGCAGAAATATTCTTCAATATATCTTCTTATAAAAATGCAAATAAATGAAAATGTTCAAAATTTGGATTCTCTAACGTTTCAGGTGCTTTTGCGAAATTAGAAATCGTGACACATTGCGGGTTTTTGCTAGAGCCGGTTACATATTTGATAGTTGGTTTCTGATGAATCTTTAAAAGATGCGTTGTAGAAACGACTCAAGAATTTAAAAACCCGCCTCAGTATGTGATTGAACTTCATTACAGCACTGCGGCATTTGATTATTCAATTTGAATGAGACGTGGCAATCTTACGAGATCGTTTGACGTTCGGAATCAAATCAATGACTCAATCATAATGAAAAAAATAAGAGTCGCTGACAGTGGTAACGCTTTTAACGACACTTAAGGTGACAAACGCTCAGTTAACAATATCTAGTACGTGGTTGGCAAGTTTGAGCTGTCCATTGGTATGCGGAGACTTCACTTGCTACAGAATGACAGTCAATCTTTTACAACCTAAAATGTCAATATTGTCTTGTTCAATTTCTGCAATGATTTTCTGGGATAATTGAAAAGACTTCTTTATCATTCTTGTGAAAGATTCTGTCGGCTAGAATTTAAATTTAATATATCATTCTGTTTTTAAGGAATACAACAAAATCTAGAATTTACAAATTTCAAATCTCTCTTCATTATTGTGATGTTTTTTTCTGGGATAATTGAAACAATCTGTCAGTTAAATATATTGCCAAACTGCAAAAAACTAGGGGAATCTATAGTTGAGTTGATATTTCGTTTTTTGTTAAAACATGGTTAGAATATGTTACTATATTCCATGTTTTCAAAAAAGTAACTTTGAAAGAACTGTGTTAGTGTCATTCTTATGATGTGTGCTGTATTGCAAGACTAACTTTACTATTTTTTTTCCAAGAAAGAAGTTAAACTTTTAATCAACATGCACTGACAAAATTCCTCGATTTTCTCTAAAAACAAATTACCTTTTGTAGAAGCATACGTAGCACCTGTTTGCGAAACATAACCTGTCGGAATTATCTTGAAATATTCTTAACAAATGCATTTGAGCTTTAAAACAAATATTCCCAAAGATATAAAACAGTAGCGATGAATCGATGTTATTAACTGCTCGGAAATGTAATGCAGGGATATGTATTATGGTCATTATGGAATGCCTGACATAAAGATATAAAAAAAAAATGATAAGAGTAAATTTTTGCCTTGGAGTGCACCTGTTGTGCCGATGTCCTTACTGTCTACTTGCAGTGTTTCCAATACTTAATAAGTTAGTCCTTGACTTTGCTTGCTCACTTTTAATAACAGTATTTGCGGCTTTAAGAAAAATATAAAACATAAAAATGAAGCGAATATACAGACTATCACATATCTTTGGAATGATTTCTGAAAATATGTACCTGTAAATGACTTGATGTATTTATGAATCAATACATATTGATATGAATGTATTGACAGAAATTAATATGTATTAATATGGATTGATATTATATTGATATAAATTAATATGAATTAATATCATCTGATATGATTTGGTGTGAAAATATGAAATAATATGCGTTTTATATTTAATTGATATGAATCAATATCTTCAGATATTTATATGATATGAATTTATATGAAAAAATATTTGTTGATATAATTATAAACATTTTGGAATTGACTATTCTATAATTTTATCTACACCTATTGTTTTATATGATTATATAAATTTTGAAAAGCACTCCATGTTTGTTGTTATAATTTTGGAAGCCTGCATTAATCCTTCTATGCCTATTTAAATATAAACATCTGAAGGTCTTGATTTTGTAACTGGCTAATGATTGCACATATCTCTATGATGTTAACAAGTAGAGACAGTCTATTCTTGAAAGACATAATGTCAATTGTGGGGTTTTAGATATCATAATAAAATTTTGTAAAAGTACACTCTGTTGACTAGTATGTATGTACTCCTATTATAGGATGTTCATACACTAACATTTTGGTGAATAATTTTGGTATTCATTCATTTTTGGGATATTTATTGATAAAATTTTAAAAAAAATACTATTCCTACAATTATGTAAGTATCATATAAAATACATCTCAAGTTACACAAAAATGTATTTACAAATAAATATCTGAGAGACAACTCCAGAATAAAAAAAATGGACATCAATGGACATTTCAAATGTACACCAGAAAGTTTGAACAGATATTTATTATCAGTAAGAGGAAGAGTTATTAATTTCTAAGTGGATAATGTACATTGTGTTTGAGAGAGAAAAAAGTAGATGTTTTTTTCTGGAAAGGAAGGGTGTCATGTCAAATAAATAGGTACATTTTTTAGGAAAGTGGTCAAATATTTATTAGAAATAGGAATTGTTTGTTCGGTATTAATATAAATAACATTATTTTTTATGTCTGTATGTCATAACATCAGAGATATTCTTAGTAAGTTACCAAAGGATAGTTTGTTATTATTAATGATTACCAGATGGAAATATGGATATTTCTAATATCTACAAAAAAGATGCATACCTTCAAATCCTGAAAAACAAGGATCAAAGAATATTATGATTGATATTTTTGCTCAATGCCGACAGTCTCCAAAACGTTTATTGGTGTAAAAATATGCATTTCAGAAATATCCAATTACAGAAGAGTCAGCTAAATCGCACAAAAAATATTTCTGTGTAAGTTGTATATTAAAAAGTAGGCCTAATGCATGATAAACCTAATTACATATTAATTATTTTATTATTTAATAGAATTTTATTATAAATTAACTTACAATGTTAAATTTGGTATTGATCAGTAAATGACATTACTGTGAATGGTTCCAGGGTAGCTATGTCAGGTAGTTTAATCTCTTCATGGATCTATATACTGTATCTATAATTAGATGACTGGATGATGTTACATTCAACATTGATTGCTGTGTTTGGTAACCCAGTCATTAAACATCTTATTTTCTTCCTAATCTCTCTTCTTTTGTTACTTACAACAGTTTATTTTATTTCATTTTAAATGCCTGTTATAAATATAAACGATTTGTAACCTTTCATTCTGTTTTCTATAAATTGAATAAATGAAATTAAACTGGTAAGTTGTGTAACATTCTGTCTTTTTATTATTTTTATGTGTTTTTTCTTCTTTTTTAAATGTATAAAAAACTACTATGCTAAAATTGTTAATTATAAGTCAACAAGCTTTTTTTTTTGGTCAAATTTATTCGATCAGCAACATTTTGTGATGATAGAAAGTAGTAGCTTTTGTTAAGTGGATGAAAATTAAAAAAATCATGTACTTGGTAAATTAGTGCTCAAAATGTGATATACAAATTGCATTAAAAGGTCCAATTATGATGTCACAATTGCTTTATATTTGCTTATATGTTGCTATATCTGCAGCAGTGGTTTCCCCCTCCCCATCCCCCAAAAATTCAGGTAGAAAAAAAATATTTTGTTGGGGACTTTGATATTGATTAAATAAGCCTTTCAAATCCCTAGATTGTCAGCGGCTTTGCCCCCACTGAACCCCTTCTGAGGGTTCTGGGATTCCCTCACCCCACCCACTTATGCTACAGTCATTTTGGGGAGACCATCCCTCTTGTCGTGGGAATTGACTCCCCCCAGTTGGACAAATCCGGACGCCACCATGGATCTACTGAACGTTCGCATGTACTGTTTCTGTAAATAATACAGAGGCACGGATCTGCCATCATGTGTCGTTATGGATTGTTGTCCTATACAAGATATATAGTGCGGTATGTTGATGGTAAAGCCAATGAATACTGAAGTTCATTAATTTCCATATATATCAATCAAGTAGTCTTTGATTAATCCAGTTTAAGCTTTGCTTATTTTTTTCATCATTTTACTGCAAGAACTTAGGATTTGTTTTTTATCCCCATTGGGTCGTTTTCTTACTGTTTATCAGTAATCAGTCAATGAAGCTTTCTTGGCTTTGTGCAGCCATCCATTTTTATTAGTGATTTTTTAATCTCTTATTTTGATGCGGAATGTTGTTTTTCTTTTGTAGATTGATGATGAGATCAACCATACTCATTTAAGTTGAAATGTTATTTCTTTATAAAATTTATAATATAATTAATATTTATAATAATAGTAACAATGATAATAATAATAGTGTCGTCTTATCTACCAAACATAACAAATTTCTGTATATTTTTTATTTAGACCAATATAAGTTCTTGAATCTTAAACACAGAATTTATAAACTATGAATTTAATAGTGCTTTTACCCTTTATAAACACCATCCCAATAAAAAGTTATTTAATTTATGTTGGTCAGTTTGCATGGTAGTAGGTTCCTTAGAATATCATGGTACTGATATTTGGTTTATGTTAAAAATGAATACCTGTCTCTTATACACATCTAGATGTGTATAAGAGACAGATTCCATACTGTTTTGTGGTAATGGTAAAGTATCTCTTTAGAGATCCTGTCTTGTAGTTTAAAATGCTTAAGAGGGTGTATCACATTTATCTCTGTTTAATGTGTGTCTCACCCCCATCTACTGGGGTCTTGGGTCTGTCTGTGGACCCTGGTGATTTCCAGGGGTGAATCCCCTTGTATGTAAGCTCTGAGAATGTAAGAGGAAGGGGATGAAGAACAAAAGGAGTATTGTTTGAAGAAGGCATGACAGCATGAAATGATTTGCTCAGGACCATAAAGCATGGAATAAAACATGATGGTACAGGTCTGGATAAAGGTTTTGTTCCTTCGACCATGAAACTTATCTTGAAAAAAGGCCTCCAGCACCAAACGTTATCTTTACACTATGGGCCCCTATAGCCAACAGCGATTTTCTCGAACAAAAAAATTTTTGTTGTTGTTAATTTCAACAAATTCCTGTGGGAGATATGTGTGATACCGTTGACCACTGTTCATGCGGCTGTGCATTTTTTATCCAGCCCTGATGATGCTATTGCGGCAAGATCTGCTTTTGTTAGAATGTTAATGATGATGCAATCTCTTCTATATAGCAATTTTTATTATTATTTGGTAATACAGTAAATTAGTATTGAATATAAAAAATTCTAATAATAATTATTATTATAAACAAAAGATTAAATTGCATTATTTTCTTCAGAAATCTTTCATATAATAATCATAAACCAGAAATGATGGTGAAAAGTTCGTGTGAATTATAACAAGTCGTTTGTGTTGAGGATCAGATATGGATGAGGTCTCTACGAGACCAACCATAGGTGACAGGCTTGCCATGACTTGTGATGAGTTCATTTGTAGTAGCATAAGTTTCTGCTACAATGTAGAAAGAAACAGGAATATCTGCTACTGCATTACTGAAAACATGTGGTGCAGTGCTAAGGCACCAGGCTTCCAAGAGAAAGGTTGCATGTTCGAATCGATGTTTAATCACATTCATTGACTTTGTCTCTCTTTACATAAGACTATAAATTTTAAATGAAATTGGTCTGGGCCTGAATTAGCTGCATGGCTAAGAATAATCTCCAGACAGTCACTGTGTCATCAGGGAAGGAATTCCCCCACCCCCTTTGGACGAGCATAGATCCCACTGTCAAAAATGAAATACCAGTTCAACAATATTATGTATTGATAGTTACCTTTCTATATTTTTGTTACTCGTTCAATGTAAGAATGTTGTTTTAGACTTGATATATAACACGTGCTGTAATACTGTTCTAATGTATGTTTTCAAATATATTTTAATTTTTTTAATATTATTTTTCTTCTGCAATTAACTGTTTTTAAAGTAAGTTCACATGGCAGTTATTTTACTCTATTGTCCTGAGCTATACACTGTAGAAAGATAGCCTTTGTTGAAATCCTCTGATTGTATAGGGGGTTTCTGGAGGTCAGTAAACCTAAGCTGTAGTTAGTATGCTGTGTATCTGGAGGGAGGAGCTTAATGACGTTCCTAAAGTCCACAAGACTACTCTCAAGATTAAGCAAGCCGTAGTTAAGCTCACAGAAGCTTATGTCCCAAGTCTCGCGAGACACATAGTCTGACAAAGAGTCCTCCGATAACACTTACTAAAAGCTCTTCTCTATATCTTTTATTTGATAACTGTTTTTGGTTGTAAGATCTTTACTACTGTCCGCAGGATATTATTATTAATTATATTATTGTTCTAAGATTTTTTTTTTTGTCATGTGTGACCTAAAATTGACTCTATTATCTACCATCTGTTAGGGCATCATGCCAGCAATGTTTTTCTTGCGAGGATAAAAGAACATAATTGAAATTGAAACAGCCTAAAATAGAATTGTCATATTCATGAACAGTAAGCTATTAATATCACTGATATTTGGTTTATGTTAAAAATGAATACTGTAAAATTGTATGTATTCAATATACTCATGACAAAGTTTTTGTAAACCAGATCTTTAATAAAAAATATTAATTATAAAAATTTATGAGACCTGTAAATGATCCTACCATTGTAAATACTGTACTAAATTTCTTGTATTTTACTTTACTTAATTTATTGGTTTTCACCTCGCATTGGATAAGTTTTTAGTGAAGTTAATTTCGTTTGTTTGCTTAATGTTTGCTTAATTGTTTGCCCTTTGGCAGAATAGATTTTTGTTGATTTTATTATTGTGTTGAAAGCAAATTTTATGTTATAAAGATTGAAGTGTTTAATTGTTAGTGTTAGATCTGTTAGCCTCAGTTTTGATAGTTTGTGAGCTTGTTAACCAATTAGCATAGTGTCAGCTATAATTGATAGGCTGGTGCAGTAATCTCTATTTCTTAAAGTGTAATCCGTAATGATGATGTAGTTAAATCATTCCTAATATGACAGTAAATTTGAACTACAAAACTTATTCGGGATGTTTTCAAGGTGCAATTTATTTTGTACTTATGAATTTCAATGTGATTCAAAAATCCATAAGACATCTGCCATCGCTTTACGATACAATGACCTGAAAGGAAATCAAAACTTCATCTAAGAAATGAATTTGAATTGATTTAAGATTACGGCATGAGATTGAGCAGGGGACCAATGCATGAGGCTTATGTGGTCGTTAACATATCAATGATGTTGCTAGGATCTTCAGTAGGGGATGAGGGGGAGAGGGTCTTCAGTAGAGGAGGAGGGTGCTAGGATCTTCAGTCGGGGAGGAGTGGGCTAAGATCTTTAGTAGGGAAGGAGGGGGGAATCATCATCCATTAGCATGGATTAATACCTATTTGGACAATGTTTTAGTATTTGTTTTATTTTTGAGAGTTGGGAAGTAGTATCGCATGACTAATTAATTTTTATTTTAATTATTTTTTATTGTTTGCATAACATTACTGAATTAAAGTTGCTGCTTTATTGACTGGAATAAAAACATAAGAAGTAATAGTAACTAAAGTAATTCTGTAATAGAAAACTTTCATGTGAGTTGATAACTAACATTTCTTCTTGAGTATCATTATGCATGTATTTAGCAAAACAATGTTACTACAGTTAAACCATCCTTAAGTCGACTTTCCCTAACTCAAATAATTTCAAAGTCGATCTTATTTTACATGCCAAATTGTTTGTGTTTTCTGTTAATTTACGATCTGTAAGTTAAACAATTTGTCAATGTCATTTTGGATTCGACTTAGAAAAACTCAACTGTATTTTGTGTGAAATGTAACTTCAACTACCATGTACCACACAACTAGCCTTATGTAATCAAACATTGATTACATATAAGAATATCTGAGAAGATTTGAGTGCGTGACTTTACTGCACGTCATGTAACGCCCACCCAATTTTAGCAGGTGATGACTGCGGTCATAAAAAAAGGTAATTATCCATTTCAAGACTCCAAAATGCATAGTAATATCGATGCAAATAAAAAAGCATGATTTAAGTGTGTGACTTGTCTGTACCCCATGCAACTTCATCCTGTTTTAAACAGGTGATTTACAGTCGCACAGAAAGTAAATATCCGTTTAAAATCTGCAAAATGCATCGTAATATCGAGGAATATAAAAAAAAGCAGCTTGGACCATTAGGACCGAACTTTATGATACGATTACGAATCCTATGAACCTTATTGATACTTTCCTTGGATTCAATCTGCCCATCTGGTGTTCACAAAGGCTTTGTTTTGTGTCCA